ACGTATTGAACTTATATGAACAATATGATTACGATGTGCGTGTCGTTTCTCCAGATTCACACAGCGTAGTTGTGCCGTCCCCTTGCTTTTAGTGACTTCACAGGCAATTTGAATTTCCTGTCTCGCTCTTCGTCCTTTGACTGAAGACGTTTCCGGGCTTAGTCTGGAAGTTCAGTCTATCGACTTTTGCATCATTGTCTGTTGGCTATATTTGACTACCGCATTTAATCCAGTAACGTTATTAGTCGTATTACATAATTAGTTCATACCGGTATGAAGGGAAGAGAATATAACGATAACGTAGACCGCGTTGATCTCCAGACACCAGGGTCGTTGGTCGAGACAGACGGTTAAGTTTTCAGTTTAGTTGAAAGGCAAGAATAATCAGGCTATTGTTCAGTTGCTTATAAACTACATAGTGTGTAAAACTAAACCGATGCGTCTGACAGCTATCTTGTCATGGGAATAGCGCAGCGTGAACGAGGTAGCTCAGTTGGCAGAATATTGAACCTATTGTGGAAGTTTATCTTCAGCGCGAATTCATTTTAATTCGCCTGGTTTTCAAAGCAGTTAAGAGAGAACCAATAAAAGAGGACTGTACAAAGAAAACAAGAAATTACTGGCTCTAGGCGCCACATAGCTATAGAATACACCCTTTGTTGTTGAGACTATACCCATTAAACAGAAGGTGCTACAGATGGCACCCATCATCAAAACGTAACAGAGATCAGTATCTAAATAGCATAATTTGCTAGCATTCCTTTGTTTTACTACAGACTATTATCGGCTTCCCTTTAATCGATTGTAAATCTTCATTTCGGTGTTCGTCAGTAGACTTATTCGTGTTCAGTTTTACACAGGATCACTAACAGATATTTGGCAACCTCTCAACCCCAGTCAGCCTTAGTTTAGATGCTGGACTTCCTTACGAGATTTTGCTGTGCAAAGCATTGCTTTGCTCTTTCCTATGGGCATTTTTTCACGCACTCCTTACCTGGGATACCCTCTGTGATTGACTTAGTGCGACGGTTTCGATCTTGCTCCCAGTGTGTTTTTTTTGAACCATTGTTTTGAGGCATTTACACAAGCCGAACGTCTATGATTTCCAGTGACTACTTCTTTGTCTGTGGCTTTGTATTGGGTTTGTTATATGACACTGGTAATTGCGTCATACAATAAAATGTTCTTATCCAAAAGCAACTCTGTCACTACCTTGTTCGTTAATGTTGATTGCTAGCCTCCTGATCGATGTTTGCGATGTTTTGGTTCCTACACGAGAAGTTTATGGATTGGAGTAAATGGTTTATTCTCAGCCAGTTCTTCTATTGGGGCCAACCTCTTTTTTTAATCCCTACATGTGCGAAGGTCACCTGTAATCAGAGTAGCATGCAGGTAAATCTTCTGGAGTTCCTCAATTCCTTACGTCATTCCTTCGGTTCGCAGACCTGGTTATAGTTAACGTTTGTTCGAGTGTCGTGTCGTTTGTGCCTCTTTCCGTTCTTTTCCCATTTTATTCTATGCTGGAGAATGTTTTGAACTAAAGCGTTTTCAGGACCCGCTACCTCCTACTCCGATATGTGGCCTGGTCAATAAATTGGGTAACAAGGTGAGGCTGACATTCAAGCTTGAATTGGACCAGGTGTGGATCGGAACCAAAGGTATGGCGAATCGTGTGAGTTGCTTACCGTCGCTAGCCGAGACTATGCACAGAGCGGACCGACAAGATCATGATGAACCAGATCCGAAACGTCATCAGCGAACCGATTGATGGCCATGAAGACTACTGCATTATGGTATTGTTCTTGCTTCTTCCTGTGCTGTAAGAATAGCTGTATGGCAGTGCGGTTGACATAGGTTTCGGACGCAATGGAATGAGGTGGAGTGGTAGTACTGTGATGTTATGTGTTGCTAGTGATATCAGAGTACTACGAGACCCAGTGGCTCATAATGTTATGATATTACTCAGTGAACTGCGACTCATGAAGTACTATGGCAATATTATATGATAATATCATTATGCTCTGTATTCAATATATCTTTCGATCTAACTTATTTTGGTCAGTAGCCACGCTCCGCCACGCATCTCTTTGTTATGCCTTTTGCTTCCATCGTCGCCCAAACAGCCTCATCGTTTGGTCATCGAAGCATAATTCTCTTACTACACCATTACGTAAATATGCATTTTTGTTAACGTGCAGCACAGTAATATAACATAGGATCATAATCTTACTCTAACTTAATAAATACATTAGTAGCAATATGTTAGTAATACTGTACTGTTTGATAGTGCAGTTGATAAGTTAAGACCCAACAAAAAATTTAAGAATGTTGTAGTTTTCAGATCCGTCTACGATTACGAGCTTATTACCTCATTTTCTTTTTTAAGCACCGTGCCGTATAAGTTTCGCAACTGGATGATATTCCGATTGAACAGGTTATTACTTTCTAAATTTGTATCCGCCGTTAATCAGTAGGAACTGTGCCAGATATTCGATGCATTACTGATGTTAAGAAATTAGTTATTAATATCTTCAAAAATTTATTTCCAGTGTACGCCTGTGAAAGTTAATATACCACCTCTTTCGCAAAGTTTTGGTGCCAAATAGCCTGATTTAGTGCGATGCTTCAGCTCCAGAAGGCCATCATCAGAGATATTCGTAAATAACAATTAACATTACAGTAAATTTTTGCCATCAGGAAAATTACAAACAGCAACTGGTAAATAAGCACCGTTAGCTGTGAAAACGGCAGAGTAAGAATAAGTAAACACCAGGGTGCGATTGGAGGAACCGTAGAGACCATTTCAGAATTGGACACATTCCTAATAATGCAGCCGTTCGCTGTATTAATAATAAAGAAGTTAGTCTGGCATTCTGGATTTTAGCAGTAGACAGGCCTGCACTCCTCATTAATAAGTTGCTGCGTATATCACATAATCGAATTTGGAAGAGTTGAAGCGAAACCCGTAATCTGATTATTTTCCCCCCACTGGAATTCAGATCTAGTCGTTGAACAGCGCTGCCGTATACCCTTCAGCAAGTTCTCATATCATCTCTGTTGTTCGTTGCTTTGATGATAGCTACTGTGCTTAAAGTCGAAACGTTGAACTAAAATAGATTAGTTAAAACATTAAAAATAATAATGATACCTGATTGAAACGGTGAAAATACGCGGTGTAAAGAAATCTTTTTTTCACTTTACATCAGTAGCATTATTGCATCGTCCCCTTACTTCAAGGACGCCGTTTTAGCAGGCCACGGCTCCATGATATTGCCTGCGGATCGTGGTAATCTTGTTTGGTTGGATGTACTTTTGTTCAAACCAAGATTGGGACGCGGTCCTGCGTCCTGTGTACTGCAGGCGCTTAAATACTATCTGGCCGTAACCTGCTGAAACGGTATTCCTCCGAATGCTGTTGCTTCGTTGAAATGATGACATAAATTAGACTTATTAATTTTGATATTTTTGAAGTTAAAATTTTGTAGTGACGGACATGGTTAATAGAGTGTAGAATTGAGACTGAACAAGTAACGTTTTAGGCATTGCAACTAGGCACCACTGATGCTTCGAACTACTGGCTTTACTGGGTACCGGCGCAGTACGTGGACGCGATCCGGCAAGCGATTTTGGGGCCTTAACGTTTCAGTGCTCAGTGCTGATCGAACATTACTTTGTGATAAGCAGCTCATCAGATTTTGTGGTTAAACGCTAATTTTAATCTCACTATCATGGTTTTGTTTCATGTTCAAGATTAGTTCGTCATCTTGATATGATTTTTAAAAAGTATATTTGGTTTTTAAACTTGTTTCCGATTGCAAGCCGACTGCAAACGAAGAAGTCCACAGAATGCCGCGCTTTGACACTGACTATTGTGACGCTTACTAATATTCATGCTTTACTTCAGTCGAATGCATCGTTGGCGCATAATAAACTTAACCGATCTTTTGGAGTTTAATGACTGTACTTCGAGTGATGATCGCACCTCAACGCTGTACTGTTGCTATAACAAAAAATATAAAAAGCAATAAAGGTTTTTGACTGTTGCCACTTTAGTATCCCTTATATTTTCATGATTGGCGAACATTGTGGCCTCTTTTCATGGCATTTGTGCACCGTTAACCAGATTCCATGATTTATAAGCAGTGTGTATAACCCTGTGGTATACGAAGTGTAGTCTCCTATATAAGTCTCATTTTTTACATTATTTTGTGATTGTCGTTTACCTTCATTGAAAGGGTGAAAGATGAGTGACTAGAGCTGGCCTTAATCTCATGATTTTTCAACTGTAGACTTGACGTTCCATTGACTGAACAACTTCTGTAATACTAGTATTTGTCAAAAATCATAAATCTGATCCTTTCTTCAGAAGAATGATGGCATGACGGTACAAAATTAAATCTCTTATTCCGTATTTAGTGGATGTGATCATGAATTTGGTGTAAACGTTATGTTCTGTTTTTATCACCGATTATTAGCACTTCGAACGCCTTGTCGGTGAGCCATCAGCTGATATTCGTAAGGAACATGGTCTGAAGAAAAGATTCGGTGTTGTTTTATGGGGAAAATATGTGGTTCCTCATTCTTGTGTAGTGCATAACGAACGAAGTACGGGATAGTGTGAGAAAGCGAATCTCAGCATACACTGCTTAAGTGATGAAGGCCTACATGAGTCCTGAAACGGTGGATTACTTCGAATAGATGCAACATGGAATTACCTTTTGCGTCATACTGAGTGAACGAAGGTAAGAGTGCCGGAAGCCATAGTTTCATGCTTCAAATGAACCAAACTTTTTCTGGTCTAAAAATGGTGCAACCAGTTGATTGGCTGCGCCACTGAATCTGACATTTTTACTGCCCAACTATTTATAATGCAATCTGAAGGTATTTTGCTGGAATCAGTCCTATGTCCAATACCTAGACGCAGTAGGAGAGTGAAAGCGGGTTCTCATTACGATGTATGGTAGATCCTGTGTGCTCTGGCAGGTTCGATCAGGCGGCTAAAGTTTGATAAATATAGGCGGCCAAGTGGAAGATGTAACATTGACCAATCAGCGTTGGTAGCATGGTGAGTAACGGCCACATACTCCAGGTTCAAGATGAAATCAGAAATAAAATCAAGACCTATATTACCTCAGGGAGAGGGGCGGGTAAATCTGGTTGCCAACGGTATAAACAGCAGCTGGTCAGGCATGAGCGCAAGGGTTGCTAAGAATACTCGAATTATGGATCGGAGCTGCTACGGTATCGACAACATACAATTGCACATAACTTCCAGGTGAAGCAAAGATTCAAGAGCTGGAAAAAATTGAGAAACCGAGTGGGATTTGATAGGACGCAGCGCAATTGAACGAAATCGGTAGGAGCTGTTTGAGCTTAGACATGGATACTTCGCTTTCTACAAAGATCAGCGAATGGAAGTATAGATGAACTGGAATTCATTTTCCGCAGAAGACATAAGAACAGTGTAGTTTACATGGACACCGCTGCAGAGTCGTACGCAACAAAGATTATGAACTATGCTTTCCAAATGTTCCAGGCATATACCCTGACATCAAACCATCCTGAAAAATACATTGAAGGCTTTTACGAAGAGATGGAAGTGCTTGAACATTTAAAGAGTCACTACGAGTCGGTCATTGTTAATTACAATGGCAAAGTCAGATTGCGACAATGAAACCAAAAGCTTTGTCGGCCAATGTGGTTACAGCTAAAGAAGCGACCGACTACTACAGTTTGTTGGAAAGAACAAGTGATTTATTACGAATACCTTAAGATAAAGATAAATTGAAAATGGAAATGGGCCAAATCAAACAAGGTCAAGAATGAAAGTGAATTAATTTTCAGCAGCATGAAGAACGCCGGACAAAATATCCTAATTCTGAATAGACTTCTTGAAGAGGAGGCGAGCACAGGCTCATACAATGTAAAGTGCGAATGGGCTCAGCTGTAGAGAGAAGGAAATTGCAGAGGACGAGACGTAAGATACTCGACTAGAAGGACTAAAGAAGCACCTTTCGCTATTCCAACTCAAATTAAACAACACATTCGACATCCTTCACGGAGTGCAAGAAGAAAGGGAAGCAGCGGACATTAGCGTAATGCATCAGCAAATAAAAGTGATAGTAATAGAAATGGGAACACATCTAGAATGGCAGCGCGATGAATTGAAGAAGTTCGATGACACTAAGATGATGCACGAACCATATAATTCACATTGTCGAACCGTTATGAATTTCCTTTCTTTGATACAAATTTCTGTTTTCAAACTTTGATGGAAAGCCAGATTCTCTGCAGTCTCGTTTTCTGTGCAAAACAGTAAACTTTAAGACTGAAGAAAATCTCTTGTCACTTGTGAGAATTTGCACGGTGTAGTCGAGCTGTGCACTTGCTTCTTGTAGTCTAGAGACTGATTAATCTAGTCATGTCCCTATGATACTTTACCATCTACAGTACATGGACGCAAAACAGCAGCATTTTACTACATCGAAATAATGTTAATATGCTTGAATTTATGGGCATACATAACATACAGCAAATTCGTATTTTTCAATACCAGAGGGGAGAAAACCGATGTCCTGAAACTTTTCTGTATTCGTGTGACGTTACATACCATCTAATTTTGGACATAATCTTCTAGCCTGGTTTGGACATGATGACGGTAGAACAACACGACACGAATCCAAAAAGCGACCGAATGTTGCTATTCGTGATCAACGGTATTAAAAAACGTCATCTTCCCCGGTGAGTCCTAATATTGAAGTTAACTTTTGTTTAATTAAAATAGTGTAGGATCGGAATACTTGAGATCCTGTGTTACAGGTCTGTTCCTGCGATTGTCAAAACTGACTGACTGCTAATTGCTTAAAATTACTAATTGATTGTCATGAAATTCTTATATCAGAGTTACAGTAAGAAAGTAAACCAACGAACAGTATCCGGTATTTCAAACGGGCGTCGTAGTTTGGCGCGTCTGGCCCGTATTTCGTTCGGTTTGCTCTAGTCGTATAAATCGTACTGACCGCCGGGATAATAATGTGAAATGGAGTGCATCGGAACCACCAGTGGACGAAAGTTAAGACTGAGACCAATCGATCGTGCACGTGACTCGATAAAGCGAATTGGTCGGCGAATGAGTGCCCCACTTGGAAATTGGTTGGTAGTCGATTGTTTTTGTGTATTTCGTTTTTGTTCTGTACTTCCGCATACTAATACATCATTGTTGAGTTGGTCAGTCTGTATACTCGTCGCCTTCATGTTGGCGGCTGTTGTTTTGGGTCGTGCTCCAGGGCTAGATCCCGCTGTGGTGCTCCAACGAATTTCTGCCGTAACTTCTGTGAAAAGGTAGTGGTAGTGATCGCCGTCACTTCTGGCTTTGTTTCGTTTCTGACCTGAAACTGAGGCAAAGAAGCGAACGGTAACGAAACCGCCGACGGAGGCCGTAGCGATGCTCTGCAACCTTTCGTTGCCGCTGACCAGCACCCGGTAAGTTTGCCATCACGGCAAAACCCACATCTGGATCCAGCCGATTTCGACCCCTGTTTCTCGCCTGCTTATGGCTGTAACGTTTGCATGTCATTTAAAAATAACATATTATTTGAATTCAGCATTTCATTTGCTCATAATTTTGCTTTTAATTATGATGCTGCCGATCGTAGCAAACGCGTTGACTGTTACTGAAAGCTTTCCACCTCTGTTGTAAGTTACCGTTTTCTAACCATTCATCAAAACAGCGATCCAGTGATTACTTGTATTATCTATGTACGTCCACAGTTATTCATCGTCATGCTCTATAAACGATTTTGTTCCTAGTCGATATGTTGTTTTTCAGATATTTGAACGTTTTTGATCACAGTTCATCCATCTGGCCACCATTTTCTATACTTAAATTGCGTTAGAAGCGTTTATTTATAGAAACTTTGTTGTTCCTTGTGATCGCTGTTGGGCTGAAAGCCGAAACCTCGCCATAAATGAAAAAATCGCTATTGCGCCTAAGCAAAAGGGGTAAAAGAAAGTTACCGAAAATCACCTTTTGAATGTCCTTTCTTCACTTTCTTGATTTGGCCATTTTGGTGGCGTTCTTTTTTTCATCAAGTTAACGCAGCGCAGATTTCCGTTTTCATGCTGTCAGCTAGCAGTACCTTCATCTTCTTCATCTTCATCTTCCATCGCCGCTTTTCCTTTCGGGTCGCGGAGGCAGACGCGTCAGACAGTGC